ACATATGCACAAAGACATAATACCCTGTACCACAGTGTGGTGAAGGGTATAAAAAGCCACGCCTTGTATAGGTCGTTGAAAAATATTCTTTAAAAAATCCACGCTTTGTATAGGTCGTTGAAAAATATTCTTTAAAAAAGCCACGCCTTGTATAGGTCGTTGAAAAATATTCTTTAAAAAATCCACGCCTTGTATAGGTCGTTGAAAAATATTCTTTAAAAAATCCACGCTTTGTATAGGTCGTTGAAAAATATTCTTTAAAAAATCCACGCCTTGTATAGGTCGTTGGAAAATATTCTTTAAAAAATCCACGCCTTGTATAGGTCGTTGGAAAATATTCTTTAAAAAATCCACGCCTTGTATAGGTCGTTGAAAAATACTCTTTAAAAAATCCACGCCTTGTATAGGTCGTTGAAAAATATTCTTTAAAAAATCTACGCCTTGTATAGGTCGTTAAAAAATTTTCTTTAAAAAATCTACGCCTTGTATAGGTCGTTAAAAAATTTTCTTTAAAAATCCACGCCTTGTATAGGTCGTTGAAAAATATTCTTTAAAAAATCCACGCCTTGTATAGGTCGTTGAAAAATATTCTTTAAAAAATCCACGCCTTGTATAGGTCGTTGAAAAATATTCTTTAAAAAATCCACGCCTTGTATAGGTCGTTGAAAAATATTCTTTAAAAAATCCACGCCTTGTATAGGTCGTTGAAAAATATTCTTTAAAAAATCCACGCCTTGTATAGGTCGTTGAAAAATATTCTTTAAAAAATCCACGCCTTGTATAGGTCGTTGAAAAATATTCTTTAAAAAATCCACGCCTTAAAAAATCCACGCGTTGAAAAATATATATAGGTATAGGTCGTATAGGTCGTTGAAAAATATTCTTTAAAAAATCCACGCCTTGTATAGGTCGTTGAAAAATATTCTTTAAAAAATCCACGCCTTGTATAGGTCGTTGAAAAATATTCTTTAAAAAATCCACGCCTTAAAAAATCCACGCGTTGAAAAATATATATAGGTATAGGTCGTATAGGTCGTTGAAAAATATTCTTTAAAAAATCCACGCCTTGTATAGGTCGTTGAAAAATATTCTTTAAAAAATCCACGCCTTAAAAAATCCACGCGTTGAAAAATATATATAAAAATAGGTCGTATAGGTCGTTGAAAAATATTCTTTAAAAAATCCACGCCTTGTATAGGTCGTTGAAAAATATTCTTTAAAAAATCCACGCCTTGTATAGGTCGTTGAAAAATATTCTTTAAAAAATCCACGCCTTAAAAAATCCACGCGTTGAAAAATATATATAGGTATAGGTCGTATAGGTCGTTGAAAAATATTCTTTAAAAAATCCACGCCTTGTATAGGTCGTTGAAAAATATTCTTTAAAAAATCCACGCCTTGTATAGGTCGTTGAAAAATATTCTTTAAAAAATCCACGCCTTGTATAGGTCGTTGAAAAATATTCTTTAAAAAAACCACGCCTTGTATAGGTCGTTGAAAAATATTCTTTAAAAAATCCACGCCTTGTATAGGTCGTTGAAAAATATTCTTTAAAAAATCCACGCCTTGTATAGGTCGTTGAAAAATATTCTTTAAAAAATCCACGCCTTGTATAGGTCGTTGAAAAATATTCTTTAAAAAATCCACGCCTTGTATAGGTGAAGGAATCAGTTTCTATTTATTTTCTATAGAAAATTTTTTCCTCTCCTCTCTCTCTAACCCTTCTCTCTTGCGATTATATTATTTTTTTTTTATCCCCAACATAAAACCTTTTTTCCAAGGAAATTAATTTTAGTGACTAGCAAATTAATCAACACAAAATGTTGTAAACTGTCTAGACAGGGAGGTGAATGGCAAACCATGACAGTGTCACGATATAATGGTCCGACTATGGCAATACATTTTCATAATGACGAAAACCTAATTTATATCTTTAAAACACTCGTAATGAAATATTTCATAAATAAAAATAAATATTCAAATACATTTTCATCGATATATCGCGTGAAAAATATTGTCACGCGACAAACAGACAAAAAAGGCAGCAGATTGTCAAAAAATTTCATGGTCCATAAAAAATGAGAGAGAGGATTGCGCAATATTGGCTGAATGGCAGACAGTCTGCAAAAAGTCCACCAACAGCTGACCATTTTCGTTTTTGCAACGTCATCTCCGACGTGCTCGGGGTACCTAGAAACTATTATTATTATTTTTTTTTTTTTTGTGGCGGAACACACACACCAACCATTCGTCATTTGTCATATTTGCAATATTCCGACATTTATGACTTGCAGCAATTTGCCATAATATTTCCCACCCAAATAGACCCGAAAAACCAACCGCGAACAAAGACCAAAAATTTTGCAAATCCCTCCCGTTTGTTGCACCTCTAACACCCCCTACCCCGCTTCTCGGCAGATACCATTACAGTTCAATGGTCTTTGTTGTTTTCTTTCTTTGTTCTAGATGGGGGGCTTTTCGCCGCAACCTCGAATAGTGATTCTGAACTTGTACTGCACAGTGGGTTAAAATAAAAAATATTTGAAAAATAATTCTGAATTCTAGGCAAACTTTTCAATATTCAATATTAATTAGAGACTTAAAAAAGTATTCAATTTTTTATAAAAAATATATTTTCACGATTTTGAAACACTGTGCCCATGTACCAACACCATCAACGGCCACAAAACTGAATATTAATTTGTAAATAATATTTTTTTTGGTTTATAAAAAGATTTTTGAAAAAATATAAATAAATTGCTTGCATTGTTTTGGATATTGTTTACAAGTTGATTGGCTTTGTTGCCGGAATGAAATAATTTTCAAAATATATGCAGATGGCGTAGATTTTTTTAAGATTAATTTTCAGGAACCCAAACAAGTCGTGGATTTATTAAAGAAACAAATTCAGGAACCCAAACAAGGCGTGGACTTTTTAAAGAAAAATTTTTAGGAACCCAAACAAGGCGTGGACTTTATTAAAGAAAAATTTTTAGGAACCCAAACAAGGCGTGGACTTTTTAAAGAAAATTTTTCAGGAACCCAAACAAGGTGTGGACTTTTTAAAGAAATTTTTTCAGGAACCCAAACAAGGCGTGGACTTTTTAAAGAAAAATTTTCAGGAACCCAAACAAGGTGTGGACTTTTTAAAGAAATTTTTTCAGGAACCCAAACAAGGCGTGGATTTTTTAAAGAAAAATTTTCAGGAACCCAAACAAGGCGTGAACTTTTTAAAGAAAAATTTTCAAGAACCCAAACAAGGCGTGGACTTTTTAACGAAAAATTTTCAGGAAACCAAACAAGGCGTGGATTTTAATTTTTTAAAGATTATTTTCTCGAAGACTATGTTTTAGGGCGTGGATTTTTTAAAGAATATTTTTTTAAGGTTGTGGACTTTTTAAATAATATTTTTTAAGGGCGTGGACTTTTTAAAGAATATTTTTTAAGAGCGTGGATTTTTTAAAGATTATTATTTTTTAAAGGGAGTGGATGGAAAAAATTAAGGGCGTGTATTTTTTAAAGAATTTTTTTAAGGGAGTGGATTTTTTAAAGAACATTTTATAAAGGGGGTGGATTTTTATACCCTACACAACTATGTTGTCAGGGTATTATAGCTTTGTGCAGCCTCAACGCCGCGAAATATTGGTCCTAGACCCACCTTTAAGTATACCGATCGTCATATCTCGACTAGCTGAGTCGATGTAGACATGTGTGTCCCTCCGTCTGTCCATTATAATTTGTAAACATGATACAGGCCACAGTTATGAACCAATCTTAACAAAATTTTGCATGTAGGATGGGTTCTGGCCAATAAAGACCCCTATTGTTTTTGGAAAAGATCGGTTAATATTTAGGGGATGAAATGGACCAAAAACTTCATTTTTGTCTGTTTTCCTGGTCGCTCCAGTAGCGAATTTTTGCATAGAGAAGGGGATCGGGCCAAAGAATAAGCATGATAAAGATCGGTCAATATTTAGCGGGTCAAATGGACACATACCTTTGTGTGAAAAATGACAACATTTGTATTCTATTGCGTATATATTTGGCCCTGAAGGACATAGACCCGAGAAGTTGATAGTATATCCAAGAGGATATGCTTGACCTTTAAATTGATACCAATTATATTGTCGTATGTTCTCGGATGTGGGAGTTACATTTAAATATTTACAGGTGTTTACGTATTATTTAGTAACCCAATAACGCACTGGAGGGCGGAAATATAAAGCGCATCGCTTTGAAATTTGAATTTCCCATGAGGATCCAGATATGGTCAAGGATAACGCCACTAAATTTTCAGATAATAATTTTGGGATGAAGTGGACCAAAAACTTATTTTTAGTGTTTTTTTTCGATTCGATCTATAGACTATAATTGAAAGCCGAACATCACAACACATAGGGACTAATAAAGGGTGCAAATTTTTCGCGAAATATTGTCCATGCTTCAAACATAGAACCACAGAAAGTTAGATTTTCGTGGAAGTTGTGTAGGGTATCATATGCTCGGCCCCGTCCGTCTGCACTGCTCCGATCACTGGTTTAAAGATTAATTTTTAGGGACTAATACAAGGCGTGGATTTTTTAAGGGTAATTTTTAGGGACTAATACAAGGCGTGGATTTTTTAAGGGTAATTTTTAGGGACTAATACAAGGCGTGGATTTTTTAAGGGTAATTTTTAGGGACTAATACAAGGCGTGGATTTTTTAAGGGTAATTTTTAGGGACTAATACAAGGCGTGGTTTTTTTTATTTGTTTTGTTAAAGATTTGATTTTAATAATTCAAGGTCAGCGACATCTGAAAATGAACAACTAAAAATAATAAAATTCAAAAATTGCAATATTGTTTTTTTTTTCTCACGCAATGACCTTGAAAATTTGAATGTCTTCAACTGATAACACTGTTTCGAAAATCGCACATGGGCGCACTTTATCAGTTATGGATTTAGTTTAAATTTAGCAGTGATTCGAGATAGTTTATTTGGGAATAAAAAAATTAAATTATGAGAAATATTTGGAAATTATTTGTGATTCTAGCCTCAGTTTCTCAGTTCACAGTTATTCAATGTGCCCAAAATATCTCAGAAACTGTCTCCAGTCCCCTGGAATTGGCCATTACCACTCTCGAAGTAAATTCAAGCGATAATGCCCATAATCTGCTGTGCCAGCACATAGAAGAATCCCGTTATTGGAAGACAAGTCCCTGTGATAATTTCTTACACTATGCCTGTGGTAATTGGCCGTACTTTTTGGAATCGGAAGTGCCTGATACGCTGCATATTATGGATGCCAAACTAAATGAGGAATTTCGAAAGATTTTTCAACAACGTAATCCACGTTTACCTGAAATGAATTTCATGCGACAGGCTCGAAATTATTATGAATCATGCACGGGCATGTTTGGAGAAATGAAACCACTGAATCCCGTGGAATATTTAAAATGGTTGCAGTATAATGAAAATATGCAGTGGATGGAATGGGGAGATGAGGAGAATAAAAATGCGGAACAAAATGTGAATTGGCTAAAAATGTTGGCCATTTTCCGTAAATACGGTTTAAATAATTTCATAATGCTGGAGGGGGCCATGCAGCATCCATGGAATAATACGAAAATGATTTTGGCCATAAAAAGGCCATTTGCTGATAATCCTTACCATTATTTGGGTTCTCTGGAGAATGAACAGAGGAAATTTACTTTGCGGAATATATCCGATACGGCGGATTATCAAAAATATTTGGAATTTGATTTGGAGCTAAAGAAATTGGTGGACTATCACAGGAATTTGACAAGTCGCCAGGCGCAATTGGTAACCTTGGAACAATTGAAACATCTGCAACTGCAATGGTTGGAGGAATATTTAAATGTGGCCTTGCAGCCCATACAAATCCCGCCAGAAATGGAAATTTTCATTGAAGATATGGATTATTTGAAAACCACGAAACTCTACTTAGATGAAGTTGAGGATCCTAAATTTTTGGCCCGCTATTTACAATTGAATTTCCTTAGCCAGCTGAGCTATTCTCATGCCGATCACATTTATTATGATTGTATGCAAAGCACGAGACACCTGTTCCCCCTGGTCATGCAGTGGCTCTACAAACATCATCATCCCGAAATAAGCTACGAATTTTATAAGCTTCAACTTTTATTTTCCAATTTAAAAAGGAATTTGAAGAAACAATTTAATCGACAACTTGAAGACGCAGCTTTGGAGTTGGCAAAAAATAAATTGAATAATTTGAAGTTGCAAATTATCGATGTTTGGCAACCGGCCATCGAACATTTATATTCCGATGTGTGGTTAGATCCATTCGATTTTGTAGGGAATCGTCTGAAGCTGCAACACAAACAAGTTCAAATTGACCATTCCCATTTAGGAGATGTGGTGAAACGTGGTGCCTTGGAATTTCTTAATCTACAACGTGCGGATATTGCCAACAGCTTGCTGCCATTTTCAATATCACGTCAAAATTTAATAGTTCTACCAGTGACCGCTTTACAATTTCCTTTCTATCATCCTCAGCTCAAGCACGTGTTTATTTACAGTTCTTTGGGTTATCTAATGGCTCGAGAAATTGTCAAACAGTTCACCGATCCGCAGCTACAACAAATCGATGCCAATGGTAATCTTAATTCCCGGCTAAAAGAACATTTTATTAACATAACCATTGCGGATGATTATTCATATAAGCTTAATGTTGTTGCCTTGGAACTGGCCTATGAAACACTTAGTGTCATACAGGCTCTTGGTCGTGAGGATGTCAAACTATTTCTACTGAGATTCGCTAATAGCTATTGCGGGAATTATATTAAATTTGGAGATCACCTGCAGATGGTTAACAGCGTCTTTCGGCGATTTTCTTCAAGACGTTGGAATGTTTTTGGTTGTAACTATAATTAGTTATTTGTATTAAATTTAACAAAGAAAATAAAATAAAAAAATGAATCTTTAAAAAATCAAGGGCTTGTTTAGGTCCCTAAAAATGAATCTTTAAAAAATCCTCGCCTTGTTTGGTTCCCTAAAAAATTAATCTTTAAAAAATCCACGCCTTGTTTGGGTCCCTTAAAAATGAATCTTTAAAAAATCTTCGCCTTGTTTGGGTCCCTTAAAAATGAATCTTTAAACCAGTAAAGAAAGTACATGTGTTGTCAAGGTTTTACACGTCTGCGGTCAAAACAGGAGCTTCTATTAACAAAAAACGAAAAGATGTAACTACAAGTGGGTTTATTTCATAAATGCCTTCAAAAAACCACTTTGGGTATGTTGTACATATGTATCCTTACAATTGCAGGTCACTGTTCCCCCGAAGGAACATGCTCATATCTTTCTGCCATCTATGATAAATTGAATTCCATTCGGGCAGATTTACAGTAGTCTGCGTACCATGGGACAATTTTATGGAAAACGATTTATAGCAAATTTGATACACTCTATTCGGTACGCCGCACTGTTAAAAATTTAATCTCAATCAGACACCCGATCGCAATACATATGGAAGCTATGGGTGCATCTGCACCAATTTCAACAAGTCTCAATTTGATACATTGTGCAAAATTTCGTGTTAATCGAACAAATATTAGGAATTTGGTACACCATTTATGTAAAATCGGACGAATACATATCCATATGTTGGACCCATATCAAAATCTGAACCGATTTTCACGAAACTTAGCACACATCATTCTAGCCTCAATTAATTACTCTATGCCACATCTTGTGCAAATCGAAGAATATATAGGGACTTTGGTGAACCATTTACATAAAATCGGACGAAAATATATATGGAAGCTATATCTAAATGTGAACCGATTTTCCCGAAACTTACCACTCATAATTTTAGACTCAATTCAGTATGCTATGCCAAATTTCGTGCAAATCAAAGGATATATAGGGACTTCGATGCACCATTTAGTTAAATCGGACGAAAATATATATGGAAGCTATATCTAAATGTGAACAGATTTTCCCGAAACTTACCACTCATAATTTTAGACTCAATTCATTACTCTATGTCACATTTCGTGCAAATCGAAGAATATATAGGGACTTTGGTGCACCATTTACATAAAATCGGACGATAATATATATATATATATATGGAAGCTGTATAGAAATCTGAACCGATTTTCACGAAACTTACCACTCATCATTTCAGACTCAATTCATTACTCTATGTCACATTTCGTGCAAATCGAAGAGAATATAGGGACTTTGGTGCACTATTTACCTAAAATCGGCCAAAAATATATATATATATGCGAACTATATTCAAATCTAAACCGATTTTCATGAAACTTAACACACACCACTTTAGACTTAGTTTAGAACGCTATGCCAAATTTCGTGTAAATCGAAGGATATATAGCGGCTTTGGTGCACTATTAACCTAAAATCGGACGAAAATATATATGGGAGCTCTATCTAAATCTGAACCGATTTTCACGAAACTTTACACACATCTCTCTAGACTTAGTTTAGTACAATATGCCAAATTTGGTGGAAATCGAAATATATATAGGTACTTTGGTGCGCCATTTACCTTAAATCGGTCGAAAATATATATGGGAGCTATATCTAAATCTGAACCGATTTGTCTCAATTTTAATAGGGTTCGTCCTTGGGCCAAGTAGATGAGCTGTGCCAAATTTCATCCAATTCGGATAATAACTGCGACCTGTACATTGTTTACAATTTAACATGGACAGACGGACATGCATTAATCGACTCAGAAAGTGATTCTATGCATATTCTCAAAAGGAACCACGTGTCCATCTCGTTTCCTTTTGCCTGTTACAAACATATGCACAAAGACATAATACCCTGTACCACAGTGTGGTGAAGGGTATAAACATCCACGCCTTGTTTGGTTCCCTAAAAAATGAATCTTTAAAAAATCCACGCCTTGTTGGTGCAACTAAAAATTCAAAAATCCACTTGTAAAAATATTTTCTTATTTGAAAATTTCTGTTTTTGTTTTCCTGCCACTTTAGTCATCCACTTAAATGCGGAATATGATTCGACACAAAGGAACTGTTCGCCTGTGTCTGCTAGAATTTTCAACGCAATTTGTTTATCATTTTTTTTTCACTCAATTATTTCGTCAAAATTTGAAATTGCATTCGATGGCGAATGGCGTTGTTCTATTCTGGGAATTTCTTTTCTTAGCTTCTTGTGAATTCAACAAACCTCATGTCGGACCGTGCCGTGCCATGTCCGATACATTGTCTGTCTACGAAGGGGCAGCGTGTCGAACAAAGACATTTTAATTTATGCCTTTCATTAGGGTGTGATGGTGGCGGTCAATGTCCGAGTGCATCAACATCATCATTCCATGGATGAAGATATTAAATATCGATATTGTCTGGTAGCCCATAGGCGCCAAATCTATGAATGGGATCACAACAATGGCCATTTACAAAGAACGAGATTTTGTTTTTTTGCACAATGCCAAGGTAAAAGTGTGCTAACCCTCTTCGATTCTCAGGTTACACATATGGCCATTAAAGGCTTTAAGCAGGACCATTTTTTTAATATTTTTATTTAAAAATTCGTTTCACATTTCCAAAAAAAGTTTGCTATTTATTTTTGCAAATTTTTCCAGCTGACAAACTCCCACTATTACAATAACAATAAATTTCATCAAAATTCCTTACTGTACAATAAAAAGATGTTGAAATTTTATCTTCATCACTGGAGGAAACCACAGGTACTCAAAAAACCACCAGCACCATCATGCAAATAATGTGGAAACAAAAACAACCTTCAGAATCTAAAGGAATTGTTTTTCCTATGAGGCATCCTTTATTTGGACCACTTCGGCAACCAGTATCTTTAAGAATTCTTGGGCCTTTTTTCGTCTATTATTTTTTGGTGAAATATACAAAGGAGGTAGAGGTTTAATAATTATGTAGACATATTAGGACCCCTACAGCAGGTAAAGTGGGATATCAAATAAACATTTTTTTCAATTTGGGGATTTTTTAAAAAATATATTTTCTATTAAAAATAAGGCGTGGATTTAAAATATATATATATATATATATATATATATTCAAGTACTATAACTTACTTACATAGCTGGCTTGTTACAGAACTTTCGTTCCATAAGCCCAGCTTAAAAAAGATTTCCAGGCGCGTCGGTCTTTTGCGCAGTTTTTCCAGTTTGAAAGATCATACTCCGAAATGTTGTCCTCCGCTTGATCTTTCCGTCTTATTCGTGACCTTCCCCTTCTGCGTGAACTTTCAGCTGGTTCGCTTTTATATGCCTTTTGGACGGGGGCATCTTCATCCATTCTCACAACATGACCTAGCCAACGTAGTCGCTGCAGCTCAATACGTCTAACAATGCCGATGTCCGAGAATAGCTGTTACAGCTCATGGTTCATTCGACGGCGATATTCACCGTCAACACAGATCGGCCCATAGATCTTTCGGATATTTTTTCTCTCAAACACTCTAAGAACTACCTCATCTGCTTGCGTAAGTACCCATGCTTCAGATCCGTATAATAGCACGGGTAGTATCAGCATCTTGTAGAGTGTGAGTTTGGTCTGGCGGGAGGTGGACTTGCTTTTGAGTTGCTTACTCAAACCATAGTAGCATCTGTTGGCCATCACAATCCTCCTCCGAATTTCAAAACTGATGTCATTCGTTTTATTTATGGCTGTACCAAGGTATATAAAATCATTGACTACCTCGAAGCTGTAGTTCTCAAGTTCCACAGTTGGTCCAAGTCTATTGGAGACCTGCGCGATGATACCATCAGCTTGGTCTTCTCGCCGTTTACTGCCAGACCCACTTTGGCAGACTCCTTCTCCATTTGTTCAAAAGTGGCTGTTACCGCTCTCAATGTTCGACCCATTATGTCGATGTCATTGGCGTAGGCGAGTAACTGGTGTTGTTTCGTGTACAGATTGCCATTTCTGTTCACCTTTGCCTCTCGTATGGCCTTTTCCAGCAGGTTGTTAAAAAGGCCATACGACAAACTCTCACCTTGTCTGAATCCTCGTTCGGTATTAAAGGGCTCCGAGAGGTCCTTTCCGACTTTAACTGCTGATCTTGTGCCAGTTAAAGTTATCCTCCATAGCCGAATTAATTCTGCAGGAATGCCAAACACAGACATGGCTTTATACACCTCTGAACGGATAGGATAGGGTCGAATGCGCTTTTATAGTCGACGAATAGGTGGTATGTGTCGATGTGTTTTTCGTGGGTTTTTTCAAGGATTTGGCGCAGAGTGAAATCTGGTCAATGATGGATTTGCAGGTCTGAAGCCGCATTAGTATGGTCCAATAATGTCATTGACCATTGGCTTCAATCGTTCACACAGCACAATGGATAGCACTTTATATGCGATGGGAAGGAGACTTATTCCTCTATAGTTGGCACATATCGTTTTGTCTCCTTTTTTGTGCAGGGACACAGGATGCTGAGGTTCCAATCATTGGATATGCATTCCTCTAGCCAATTTGTACTAATCAGCTGGTGCATGCTCCTGACCAGCGTCTGACCACCAGTCCTGAATAGTTCGGCTGGTAACCCATCGGCTCCTGTTGCTTTATTGTTCTTCAGCTTATTGAGTGCTATTCTGACCTCATCTTGGCTAGGTGGTATACACTCTATACCATCATCTATTATTGGTTCTGGGGTATCCTCTTCACCGCTACTATTTGATACCAGAAGTTTTTCAAAATGCTCCTTCCATATCCTCAGCACACTGACTGTATCTATCTCCAGGTCAACTTTTCGACGTCAAATTTCCGTGTTACTTAGATCGCACCTTTGCTGCTACATTAAGACGAGTGCGAACCTTGGCTGCCACAAGGTAATGGTCCGAATCTATATTCGCTCCTCGTATCGATCGAACGTCTAAAACACTGGACGAAGGCCTTCCGCCTATC